GTTATTTCAACGGAGTTTAGCCAGTGTTAAACAAAACCGCGTTCTAAGCCATTTTCAGTTTGCCCAACGCTTTTATCCAAACACCATTTATCGTGGAAAGTTTCATGAAAGCATAAGACGAAAACGTGGAAAAGCACTTTTAATTATTACAATAACACACTAACAAAGATATCTAGAGGTCCAAAGATTTGCTAAACCGCGACCTAACTTAGACTTCGTTTAAATAACCGACCCTTAGCCCTTTAAATAACCGGCCCATTGCGTTTAAAAACTTAGGGGAAGGATATCTAAACGGAGTTTGAGGTTAGCCAGTGTTTTACGAAACCGTGTTCTTAGTAAGTCATTTTCGCTTTGCTCAGCACTTTTATCTAAACACGGGTTAGAAGCAGCAGGGTAGACCGGAGAAACATATATCTTTTTACAATAATCCACCTAGAAAGAGATCTGGAGGTCCAATTATTTCTTTACCCACGGTCTAAGTTAGACTTCGTGCAATGAATAACTAGCTTATTGGAGTTTAGCCAGTGTTTAACAAAACCGCGTTCTAAGCCATTTTCAGTTTACCGAACGGTTTTATGTAAACACCATTTATCGTGAACGGTTTCACAAAAACATACGGCGTAGACAAGAAAAGCATTTTTCTTCTTAAAATTACCTGCTAAGGAAGACATCTGGAGGTCCAGTTTTCATTTGAACGAACACGCTTTTGTCCTTTAATAGAAAACCCCTCCCCCGTTGGATGTCAGTGGTATTATGGATGTAAAAGTTCTAAAACAAACGCTTTTCTTTAGTTTTTTTTTTCTGTCTGTTTCTTGAATGTAATGATTAGTATTGCATTTTAAACTCAAATAGGGCAAGAAACAACCTTGAGTCAGCTCTCATTTACTCTATACGAAGTTCTGAACAATCCAAGAATTGAAGAAAGGTATGTGGCATTAAACACTGCTCCCAAGGGAATGAGTTAATTTTGTTTCCCGAGAATCTCTATGTTTACCGAGGCGGAGCTGTGGGAAACACTGAGATTCGAGGGAAACAAAATTAACTGTTTCCCGAGGGACCAGTCTTCCCGGAGTAGTCAATCGATAAAAATCGGTATCGATTTGTCAATCAATAAATCGATAAAAATCGGTATATCTGAGACCAAAATTGTTATACAATAGCAATTAGTAAACTTGCAAGGTCGAAAGGTGACAGGTCTAAAACAGGCAAAGGTTTTGCCCCAAAAAGTCACGAAATTTTATAGATGTCTGTATGCTGGGGAACGAGGAGGGAAGGAGAGTTAAATTAACCCCACTAGAAGAGTTATTATAACTCTTTGAAAATTACTGTGCAATCCTATCACTCTGACACAAACGTTCGCTTAATCCTCAATTTCGACCGCATATTGCTTTCAAAATACCGAATCCCGCATTTCAAGTGAGATGCTTCGTTCGACTTTTTTGTCGTTGTCCACTAGGCTCAAAAGCTAAAGTCAGGGGCGTACCCAGCCCATAGACCTGCAGGCCCGGGCCTACAAATTTTTGGTTTGATCACTCTACAGTTGCCTCTACCGCTTGAAATAAATTATGCGTTGCTGGGGTGAGCTATAAAGCTTAAGAGCTCAAAGCGTTGGTGAGGTCAGTGCGTACTAGTCATGAGTGCAATATTCAGGATATGTGGAAACGAAAGTCTGCCAGGCCTACAACTAGTCGAAAAGCTGGCTACGCCCCTGAAAGCGACCCATGCTCTAAAATTGACCCTCGCCGTCCGACTGTAAAACTTTTCTCCCTTTGAACGATTCAACATTTCCAACAACAAAAAGAAGCGTTCATACCTCCGAGATTAACTCCACCGATTCCATGTCTAGTATTTTCCAGTGACTTATTTTGTCAAAATTTCTTGCCAGGATTTTGAAAGACGTGGATGAAGTTCTTGGTCATCGTGAGGCTGTTGAGTATGAAGATCTTGGCCAACTTCATACCTTGACCAGACACTGAAGGAAGCCCTGCGAAAATATCCTCCCGTTCCTTCCGCCCATAGAATTCTCCAGAGGGAAGAGATTTTCGGTGCTTTCAAAATACCAGCTAAAACAATAGTGATTGTGTCTTGTTTTAATGTTCACAAGTCTCCTGAATTTTGGGAATCTCCAGACGATTTTGATCCTGATCGCTTTTCTCCGTCTCGCAAAGACGCCATGAGGCAGTCCGTATATTTTCCATTTTTCCTGGGACCTCGATCATGCCTTGGAAAAACGTTGGCTCAATTCGAGGCTAAAGTTGTGATATCAAGGGTCCTCAGAGAATTCAAGTTTGAGATTCTACCAAAGTGGAAGAAAATATAACATTAAGGCCTCGAGATGGTGTAATATGCACTTTAACTCAGAGGTATCGTAAATGATCTTATAGACGCTAAAATGAACGTCCCCCTACGCTTTCATGTTTGTACCAGCCGCCCGTCTCTAATAAACGCCCCCTGACCCATAGACGCTCCGAATTACAATTGCTCAAAATATTAGGAAATAAGGAAATATAGAGAGCAAAATCATTCACTCTATTCAGTTTCCTGCTTCATTAACAAGAGTTTACGCATTGCATCTTGTCAGTCTGTCTTTTTCAAAGTCAAGTTCAAGGTAAGGAATCTGACATCAGTTTAGATTGAAAAAAAAAACAAATAAACAAAAAAAGATGGGAATCTCAACGGAAAAGACGTGTCAATGGATGGACTGCCCGGGAAAGTCTGTTATGTTCGTGTGTGGCCGAGCGGTCAACACCTCGAACTGCGGATCTCTTTTAAACTCCTCCTAAAGAGAGAGCCAGGGAATGAGGTTGTCAAGATTATACCCACACTATCATTACTCAGTGTTAAAAATATAAAAGGTATAAAAAGAGCAGCAATAAAATTCATTAAAACTTCAGAATTTAAAATTTAAAAACAAAAAATCGTTACATAAACTCAAACAATAATAGGTAGGAAAGCTAGCTAATCAAATGAAAGTTTACCAAATACAAAAATATCATTATATTGTTTCAAAATTCACTTTCATCCACTTTGATCTACTTAGAAAAAATCTTTCTCATACATTGCCATCGAACTTTGGAGAGCAATACAGTGAAAAAAAGTAAGAACCCAGTGGTTTTAGAACCTGCTGGTAGAAATTTTCCATTTTCAATAGGCATGAACTAAGAACCTGTTAAGCCAAGCAAGATCAAGCAGGTTCTTATCTTAGCTATGTTACACTTACAGTTAAATTATGACACTGATTTTAGAGGCTGTTTAATTGAAACTGGAAATGACTTTTTTATTCCGGAATTGACTTTCATTCGGGAATTAGTTTAGTTCCAGAGAGGAGAGCAGACAACATTCACATGACAAAATCGACCGGCTCAAAAAGGGCATTCTCACTCATGTNAAATGAAAGTCTACCAAATACAAAAATATCATTATATTGTTTCAAAATTCACTTTCATCCACTTTGATCTACTTAGAAAAAATCTTTCTCATACATTGCCATCGAACTTTGGAGAGCAATACAGTGAAAAAAAGTAAGAACCCAGTGGTTTTAGAACCTGCTGGTAGAAATTTTCCATTTTCAATAGGCATGAACTAAGAACCTGTTAAGCCAAGCAAGATCAAGCAGGTTCTTATCTTAGCTATGTTACACTTACAGTTAAATTATGACACTGATTTTAGAGGCTGTTTAATTGAAACTGGAAATGACTTTTTTATTCCGGAATTGACTTTCATTCGGGAATTAGTTTAGTTCCAGAGAGGAGAGCAGACAACATTCACATGACAAAATCGACCGGCTCAAAAAGGGCATTCTCACTCATGTGGTTTCTCTCTTTTACATAATAATATCAGGAGGCAAATTCTGCATCCTCGACTCAATGCACTAATAATTGATAGGTTCTGTTAGTAGTAAATTTGATTGTAATATCATTCTGTAAGACTATATTTTGCAACTTTAGCTTGTTTTTCTGTAATTCTTATTTATCCCCATAGTTTATTTAGTTACTTTACAATATTATCTGTTATGACTGCTGTAACCTTTCCTCTCCGCCCGCCTCGTCTAGCTTTTTGCTATTTGCCGGCAGAGATGGCAAAGTGATGTGTATGAAAATGAAGTGTAGTGTGTGTTTCCAATCAAACACGCATGCGCCTTTTGCCCTAGACTGCATGATTTGCGATTTTCAATCTGGAACTCATTCTGGGATGACTTGCACTGGATCAAATTTTGTTTCAGTATCATGTAAACAAATACAGCGGAGTAATATATGGAGATGGAGTCGATTGGAATGAACTTGTTCCAGAATGAAAGTCATTTCCGATATCATTTGAATAGCCGCAAACAACAGAGTTTGACTTTAATATTGCATGGACTGTACATTTTGTTCTCCCTAACTGGCCTGAGCTTCTGATTTAAATTTTACTGTTTGTAATATTTTTACTCTTGATCCACGTAGACCTAAATGGTCTCAAGTCAAAAACAATCAGCACAGAAAACGTCAATGGAAAGAACAATCATTCTCCCTTATTTCAGCAGTATATACTAGGACCCTTCCATTGCTTTTTCAACTTCTGACTGGACAGAATACCTTAAAATCAGTAAAGCTGCCCAATTTGAAGTGATTAGAAGTGATTTGTACGGTGGGGGGGGGGGGGGGGCCTTTTTCGGTAATCCCGCCCTCCGCCCGCCCCACCCCTCGATTACACGCCATGCCTTCGCCACCCCTTCGCTTCGTTCGGCTGCGTGTTTTGTACTTCTAGCTTCAGCAGAGTTTTTTTTCAGTTTTATCATTCGAACTAAGTATAATTACTTGCTTTTTTGAGCTTATCGTTTGATCGTTGTTGTTTTCTTTGGATCAAAGTTTTAACTCTCTTTAGATGTACAATCTTAAAACTTGGTAAGTTACGTTATTTTAAGGCGCTCTTTCCAGCAGTATTGATAGATATTCGCTTGCTGCTCTTCGTCAAAAGTTGAAAAACCTTGTGGAAGAGTCTATTTTCAAGGAGAATGCAGCGGTTTGTCTAAGAAGTTACTTAGGGCCATTTCCATGTAGCTCTTCAGCTGCCTAGAATAACCCTGCAAGTGACTCTAATAAATTGCTACATTTTTCAACTGCTACGTTTTCTTATACATGCTTCGAAGTCACAAAGAGAATTTCATATTTTTAGGAGTCACTTGGGGCCTTATTTCTGCCCCCATTCAATTGCTTATAGTGTAAGTTATAAGATAAGCTGGATATGCCATGTCAAGTTTGTAGGTAATGTACACTGTACAACCATTGGTAATACCATTGATGCTGTCATAACGAATGTCGGACCCTCTCTTCGGGGGTGGCATTCTTATGTCCCTGTTAGGGGGTAAGAAAATACTGTCTCCTGTTAAAACATGGGCCAGGAATAGCTGGAAGTGCTTGTTCTGTGGATCATAATAAACAAAGCCCTGATGGCAGTAAGAAGCTTCAGAGGCAAAGTACGTTCCACGCCCCCACATACCGTCTGCAGAATGCCGCATGTCGAATCCATCCTCTCCTTTCCAGATAACATCTGGATTTGTATGTCTGGTGCCATGAAATAATTCTTTCTCATTAATGCATGTGGATCCTGTTAAGAAAAGTACAACTTACTTTTCTACTCAAATTCTTTCAAAACAGTAGGGAATGGTTTGAGATTTAATATTTAGTTAAAGAAATTAATGCAAGTAATCAGTTCGGGGTTGTCATTAAGAGCCGGGGGCCGGGCATTTTCCCCGGCTACTAAGAGAGTGGCCCCTGGCTACTTTTATTGGAAAATAAAAGAAAAATAGAACCAAAAGAAATTCCTAGCCATTTGATTCTACTTGTTGTATTTACCTGGCAACTTCAAATCTTAGTGACAACCCTGCAGTTATAAGAGTATTTTTCCTCTGGCAACATATTGCCCTTTGTATGCTTTACAAGGTGGTTCAGAGTCTAGCTAAATATCCCAAGATGGTAAACCACTCATATGTGATTGGAAGCCGTTTCTTCAACAGAACTACCATACCACATCTCTGGTACATGGTGGTGGTTCTATCATTTGTTTTGCTTTCACAGAGTAAATACAGAGTGAATATTTGATTGAAAGCTAAAGTCACCTACCAAGCAGTATTTTCCGGTGATGAAATTTATTATGCTGTGGTTCTAATGTTTGACCTGGTGGGTGAAATCTTACTGTGTGACCATTAAAAATATTGAAACCTGTAAAAAAGGAATTCTCTGAAGACCCCGTTTGTAAAACAAATGTAATGTCCTCCTATATATAGCATGTAGGTTTAATAATCAGGGTGCAAAGAAAATCATTTCTACAGCTTGCCCTTCGGGCAAGCTGAAGCTAGAATCTACTAGCCCAGATGTCATTTCAACTAGCCCCAGATACTTTTTGACGAGCAGAATTGATTTCATAGTTCTTCTGTTATTCGAATTGCTCAAAAAACCTCACTTGCCCGTCGGCCAAGTTAACAACAGAATTCACTAGTCCTATAGCAAAATCCACCTAAGCCCCGGGCTATCAGATACTACTTTCTTTTCACGCTGATAATATTTAATAACATTATTCAAACAAAACATACAGAATTGTACAGTAGAAGCTCTTCTAATGGACACTCTTGTACTCAGACAGCTCTGTATATGGCCGCCTTCACAAAACCTTGTTTCACTCATCTCCCATACAAACTCTGTATTTTAACATTCTCTTAACCTTTAAGTCCCAATAGTGACTAACAGCAATTTTCTCCTAACAATATCCATACAATGTCAAGAGATTAGGTTATGAGAAGTAATAAAATGATCACCAAAGGGAAAATACCTTGATCTTTTATCAAATTCTCTCAACTCATTCATGAAGGAAATGTATGGAGATCAGTTTGGAGAATTTGTCTGTGGATATTGGGGCTTAAAGGGTTAAGCGACCAGCTCCAGTTACGGACACCTTTTTCACATTCCGAGGGTGTCCTCGTCACGAGAGCTTCCACTTTACTGTTAAACACTAACCATTTTTGTCTTTGATCAAATGCCGCTGTATTGCATACTTTCTGTACAGCCACTTGTTTTGTACACGCTGTACATTAGTGATTTGAGCTTCCCTCAAACTTCTTTTAAGGCTTCGCTGAACATGGTCCCACTCGGCAGAACCTGGACGCACGCTTATCAGTTGAACATTTTCAATTTGCTGTTGCCAGTCTGGTGGCAGCGAAAGTGCTTCTTGTGGTACTAGATTTTTACCACTGCAACAACGATAATGAAGAAAATGAATACTGTAAAAATTCTGACATTAAGCCCCTCCATGTATAAACCCCTACAAATATAAGCCCCCCAAACTCGTAACGCAAAAAACCCTCCGTTAAATCACCCCTCCAAATATAAGTGCCCAGGGGGCTGTACTTGGAAAATTGCCGTCAAATACAAGGTAAAACAAAGCAAAAATGGTAAATTTACTTCCAACCATAAGGCTAACCCAATCGATTTCGAAACGCAAATTTCCTTCCCTAGATAAGCCCCTCAAAAAGGGCCTTTGAAAAATATAAGCCCCGGGGCTTATTGTCGGAATTTTATGGTATTTCTCACACACCACTGGTAGCCATGCCAAGCCAACCGCTGCAGGCTGACCTTTATTCCAAGTTCATAAAAATAAACACATAACATATCCCTTGAAAGTTATGCATTGGATTTAAACAGCCTACAAAACTGAAATCTTAGGGTGAGTGGGTGGGTGGGTGGGTGGGCAGGTTAGTAATGGCGGATGGAACAAAAGNTCGCTGAACATGGTCCCACTCGGCAGAACCTGGACGCACGCTTATCAGTTGAACATTTTCAATTTGCTGTTGCCAGTCTGGTGGCAGCGAAAGTGCTTCTTGTGGTACTAGATTTTTACCACTGCAACAACGATAATGAAGAAAATGAATACTGTAAAAATTCTGACATTAAGCCCCTCCATGTATAAACCCCTACAAATATAAGCCCCCCAAACTCGTAACGCAAAAAACCCTCCGTTAAATCACCCCTCCAAATATAAGTGCCCAGGGGGCTGTACTTGGAAAATTGCCGTCAAATACAAGGTAAAACAAAGCAAAAATGGTAAATTTACTTCCAACCATAAGGCTAACCCAATCGATTTCGAAACGCAAATTTCCTTCCCTAGATAAGCCCCTCAAAAAGGGCCTTTGAAAAATATAAGCCCCGGGGCTTATTGTCGGAATTTTATGGTATTTCTCACACACCACTGGTAGCCATGCCAAGCCAACCGCTGCAGGCTGACCTTTATTCCAAGTTCATAAAAATAAACACATAACATATCCCTTGAAAGTTATGCATTGGATTTAAACAGCCTACAAAACTGAAATCTTAGGGTGAGTGGGTGGGTGGGTGGGTGGGCAGGTTAGTAATGGCGGATGGAACAAAAGCATCTGCCCGCCTTTCGGTCATATGACCTATACCCAGGCCCCCAGTGATGTGTCAGAAAAACATTTTAAACTCATTTTGTTACACTCGCCAGCAGAAAATCACCCTTCCTGTCAAGAAAGGAATTCTGGTAAGTAAAAAAAAATGATAACAAGTGAGTTTATGGCCCAGGGGGGGCAATCAAAGTTTGTAACCTTTTATAGGCTAGTTCCTTGGATTCCAGCCTAGTAAACTAAAACAACGTGCCAATAGTCCATTTTGTAGTTGCAGGTGAAAACAAGGCTGGAGTTGACCTTGTTTTAATTGATACAACCCTTCCTGCTTTATTATGTAAGTCATGTTGTGCTGATGCTAACTATATTTGTTAAACTTAATTTCCAAAAGGAAATGTACTACCCCAAGAGTCACTCTATATAGCCCAAATTTCTTTTTTTAATGAGCAGGATTGATTACAAGGAATTCCCCAAAAAACTTTACCTGCCTATTGGGCGAGTTGAGAACAGAATTTGCTAGCCCAGTAGCAAAATCCACTAGCTCCGGGCTATCGGAAACCACTTTTTTTTGCACGCTGCATAAGAAAAGGAAGGAGTTTTGTATCAAAACAAGGTCAACTTCAGCCCCATGTTCACTCAAAGCTAGGATACTTAGCCCACAACTGTAAAATGATCTATTTGGCCATCTGACATTTGCAAAATTTCATCTCACCCTGAAAAGAGCTACCCTGAGCAACCTGAACCTGGAGGCCATAATACTATACATGTATAACTACACAGCTTTTAACTTACCCAATCTGTTTGTTGTTATCACTCCCCAGTGGAGCACGAATGATTGGAGTTTTCTGACCTTTGTCACAAGTCATCGTCATGCCAGCAAATTCAAGGTCGTAAGTTTTTGCTGAGCCAGGCATCCGAACCTTTCCAGATGCTGTACTAGAGTGCGATGTGTCACAGTGAATGTACTCTTTTTCCAAAAAGTTACATTCTGAGTCAGTGAATGGGACAAGCTTTCCTTCTTCAGTCTGCCAAAACCAAGGCACCATTTGTATCGCTTTCTTTTTCACACTCTGAGAGTCTGGTTTACTGCTAAGCTCTTTACCCACCAAAGCTACTCTATTAGGTTGATCAGCATACTTATGTAAAAGTGAATCAATATATTCATGGTCGGAATCGGGAAAAACCTTTTTGAGAATCTCAAGATCTGTTAGAACTTCCGCAACAGATGAATGGCTACTGTTTCCAGATGATGAAACTACTTCAACTTGGTTTTTATCTTGGGATTGTGATGAAGAACTTGCATTATCCTTTTTGTGAGGTGTAGCACCTGCACTTGTTTCATACCTGGGTAAATCATCATCGTTTTCCTGAGATATTTCAGTGGCTGACGTGAAATGTTTAGACGCACTCAAACTTCTTCTGGCGGGTGACTTGCTACTTAATGAATGAGATTTGCTTTCTTTACTATCATCGCAGTCAATTTCCACAATCTGTGACCTTTTACGTTTGTTCATGGATGGATGAAGAGCCCCACCCTTGTACCGTATGCAGATACCACCACTTTTCTGAGGAGAACTTATACCAGAGTCAGAACCACTTGAGCGGTAAAAACCTGGCTTAGGAGAGCTTGCTACACTCTTCACTAAAACTATATCATCATCATCACTGGAAGAGCTAGTTTTGTGGTCAAGAAAGTCATGCTTCGAGGATGGTTGATGATTTTTAGCAGGAGAGGAGGAACTTTTAGAAGTGCAGGCCATTCTAGTTGGACTTGTTAATTCATTCTCATTCTTCCTGCTGAAATCACACTTTGAAACTTTGCTAGATAGGCTGTCTTCACCAGTGTTTGCACTTCGTTTCAAACCCTGCTCACGTGATGAAGTTTGTTCTTGGTTCTGCTGAGTGCCATCTGTGTTTCCATTCTCTAACAGCATGTTGATTATTGATGTCATGTGGTTAGGATCATCTTTAAACATCTCCAGGTAGCCCCTCAGTTTATTCTCATCACACTCTGGGAACATTTCTGATAGAGAGGAGAGTTCCTCTTCAAAGCTCTCCATGGCAGAGATCATATAGGAAGAAGATAAGTTCCTTTTGCTGCTGCTGGCCCTGAATTTAAACTGGAAGTGGAAAGAACCAATTTACTTACACTTTCACAAAAAACATACACAACACCTATAAAATAATTCCAAGAAGAAACTACATGTTATATGCTCAACTACGCATTTTGTTCTTGAAAATAATTTGACAAACACTGATTTTTATTTGGTAGCCTGTGCATTGGAATGATTGGAATTCTTATTACTGTAAAAGATTTTTCCGATTATAGTCCATGATCCATCAGTTGGTTCAATCCGATTATTTCTGATGATTGATACAGAAATCTCAACCAATTCTGAACACATAGGTCCTACCATTTACCTTTAGACGTTCCATTTTTACCCACACCCCCTAAAAATCTTCAACATTAAGTTTTTGTTGGCACACTTTTAAGAAAAAAAAACACAACCCTCCTCTTCAAAACATAATGTACTTAGCGGGGTGGGGGCGAGGGTTATGACTTGGTCAATTCCAAATATGCCCATACCCCCCCCCCCCCCCGGCATTTAAATTTTTTCAAAACATTTGGTCAAATTCCCCACCCACCAGCCACTCTTCAAAAGTTTTCCCATTCGTCAAACCCTTTAAATATCCTTATAAACACAACCGAAATATCTGAAGTCTCAGAAAGCTGTCTTAAAGAGGTTTTTTATTTCAAGAAAATTGTTTATTCTAGAAAGCCCACATTGAACGGGCTTTTTCAAAGGCTCTCAAATGCTGCAACAAAACAGTGAATATAGGAGCAATGACCCATGAATATGGTGCACATGCTGAATGGTCCTATAAAGTGAGGAAAGAATTATGAAATCCTTTAGCTTGCGACGACCAGCGTTAACACAAACGTGGAATGCTCGACTGGGCTGGCCTCATTTTGGGTCAAATTCCCCAATGTACGTAACCAAAGTTTCAGTCAAATGCACGGGGTATGCCCGGGTGGGGGGGGGGATGGGCGATTTTGAAATTGTACATAAGAATGGAATGTCCCCTTTTAAATTCTCAAGTGCACAATCCGCGCAATATAAAAGTTATATATATAGCCAGCTGTTTACAAGCTCTCTAAGAGATCCCTGGGCTTTACATGCGGCCAGGCCAGTGGAAACAGCAAAGAAAGAGATCGCTCGAACGAAGCGTTCTTCCGATTCGATTTCATGTAAGCTTAACGAGTGGGTTGATCTCCTTCATATAGATCACCTCGATCCCTTTTGTGGAGGATTCTTTCTTATCAGCTTCTGATGTATATAGTTAAAGAAGGTATCGCGATAGATCTTGCATTTTTTATATCGATTTGATAATGGATTAACGACAAAACGGAGAAAAACGATTAACTTTTGAGATTGAAATCGCAGCCTAGCGCCTAGAACAGAACCGACAAGTGAGCGCGCGCCATTACGATGTAGATCACACTTTTTCAAGCAAAATAATAATATACTTACCAATCCTTTGCAAAATCTGAGCAGCCAGAAGGAAATCGGGTATCATTAAGATGTCAGCTGTATGGTATTGACGAGAAAAACAGGGAATGTTCTTCACCCCGATCGCGCTCCATTTTGCTTCGGTTTGAGCAGATTTTCCTCAAATGGCGCGAACAAGAGAACTAACAATTTCATTGGACAAAACTAAACCAATCAGAACTGCTATTTTAAATAAAGCACCCAAAAGGCACTGTGGGTAATAAAGATGGCGGCTTCGTTGCTATAAACAAGTCTCAGACGAGAGTTCTTCGATTTTTTTGGCCTCAAAATGGTCAAACATAAAGTTACGGTGAAGTTTGGCCCTTATATGTCATGTGGAATAGTGGAGCATCGGACTGCTCGATTAGAAGGATTGCAAGGTAAAAACTGTTAAACTACAGGGAGCTAAAGTGCAAGGTTACTTAGTATGTATGAAAGTAGTACAGTAATGTTGATGATACTAGTAACGCGATTTTAACGGACTTCAACCGAAATCGCAGCTAAACAATGCATTGTAGAAGCGCGCCATATGAGCATATCATAAACCAGGTGTTAAATAACAATTTCCAGGGTAACCACTGAATTATGATCTTTTCTCTTGCAAGTGTGTTCCAAAACGGCTTCTTTTCGGGGTGGGAAGATAAACGACTCAGAGAAAAAGTTTTTTTTCTTCAGTATACACTTATGGCAACTCTCCTGGATGCAGCACAAAATCTCCCAGTCTCCCATATGAACCACCCAAAAAATAATCTCCCGCATAAAATCGACTCTTAAACTTTTCTTTGGCAGCATTGAGTTTTCAGTTAGATAGCTATAGAGCTGATGGAAGACCTCTTTTTCGAATGCTTTATTCACAACTGGTAATATGGAAATGGGACAGTAGTTTTCACATTGCCGTCAGTCTCCACATTTAAAAATAGGTGTTACAGGAGCACATTTCTATTCATCCATGTATATGCCCGGCGTCATAAGGGACAGATTGAAGATGAACGTGAGTGAGGGTGCAGTGATAATCACAGACAGTTAAGAATTTTGGCAGGAGTTTTATCCAAACCAGTTGCTTTGGATGGTTTTAAGTTTCTCAGTGCTGAAATAACACTATTGACAAGAATTGGTGAAAATTTAAATTGTGCGTGTGGCATTGGTTAGCAACATCAATTACCAGAGGCTCAGTATTGATGCACTGCTCATCGCCATATTCTGCTGCAAGCTTTGGTCCTATGTTTATAAAATAGTCATTGGAAACTTGAGCTATAGATTTAGAGTCCAGTATTTCATTTTCATTCACCGATAGAGAGCTCACATCATTCAATTTGTTATTTCTCCCTAATTGCGAATTAATAAGTGTCCAGGGTTTCCTAGGATCATTCGACCCAGAGCTTTCTCCAATCTTGTCTTCAAAAAATTGTGATTTAGCATTATGCATTTCAATGTTTACTTTATTATGCAAATTTCAATACTTCTTCCAGTGAAAATTCAAAAACTCTAACCAGCTGGGCCCCTCGCATATAAATTTGTGCACATAGCAGTCTATTGCTGATAAGATGACGTGTGAGATGGTGTATACTCTTTATGTCTGTCAGCAAAGTAACTAAGGCTCTATGACTTTGTCTTTAAAACAAAACTGAATGCAAGGCTGGCAATACGGCAAAGGGCTGATTTATATGAGGCCAATATTTTGGCTATCTCTTGGAATCATTTTTAGTTTATCATTAACCTCTTATGTAGATTTAAATTCAAATTGTAGGAGCCGTTATAGTATTCTCTTTCAGTGTAGCTCTGGCCCTGAGGAAGGCTAATTTTGTTAGCCGAAGTATTGGCCACAAAATACCTTATTGCCAGCCTTGTATTCAGTTTTGTTTTAATTCCTACTTCAATTGATGTCTGGCATTAGCATCTCTACATTAGAGATCTGGCAAGGAAAACAAGTTGGTTTTATTCACACGTCGAGTGGACCTCTGCATTGAACCCAAAAACGGAACAGAAACAATCGTGATGATTCTTCACTTCCAGTGTGACATCTTAAACATTTTTGAGGTCTGTCTCTACTACATCTCAACCATGTTCATGGAGAAACAATTTATTGCTGTAAGATTCAAGATCTCCAATATGGTAAGTCCATAAGTTACTCATGGTTTCCTCACTGGTCTAAAGTTCCTCAGAGATCAATGCCAGTGTTCCATTTTTCTCGTTTGTTTGACCCGATAAAGATAACTTGCTGCAAAATGTGCAGATATCCGAGCTTACTGTTAATAATGTATTGACATGGAGAGGAAATGTACTCTTGTCCTCTCATTCACAGCATTGCCATTACCACCTTGATGAGTTTCTGGGCTGGTTATAATGGTTTTAGCAACCTTAGAGTTAAGAGATAACTGGAAATACTGTTACCTGATGGTTGCAGCCTTTTAGGAGTGTTCTAATTTTTGTGCCTATAGTGCCAGGTCATTGTATAGATATGACTCAGTGCTGCAGTTCATGTTTTTTTTTTGTTTAGGTGGTGATGGAAAGCTTGATCCAATATGCAAAGAAGCCCTCACTGCTGTCAACAAAGCCTACTGACCTACAGAAAGCTGATCTTTATCAATATATTTTTACTATTTCCACACTGTTTTTAAATGTATTTCATACAAAATATGTGCACAAAATGAAGGAAATGTTCTTCACAGTGCTTTGTAAATATGACAAGTTTGTCAATAAAGTTATCTCTTGAGAAGAAAGAGATGTAATTTGCCAATATTCCTCTAAGCACTTAGGACGAGGTACCTAATTGCTGCATATCCCCGGGCCTGAAGCAGCACACTAATCTTTGGGTTTCCTGTGCTTTCTTCAGTTTCCTGCCTTTAATTATGTGGGACAATCTTGATTTATGTTTGTGACAATACGATTTTCAGCAAGTGTACATCCAGCGGGGTCATCATAACTTGCAAGGTTCTTCTCTTGCATGTCTTCACCTCTCAGAGCACAGGAATGGCAAAGACGTGCAAGAAAAAAAGCACCTTCAACTTCTACTTTTTAACGCTTCATTGTACACAACGGTAACCTTTGCAAGTTAACAAGCATCACAGAATTATCATACTTGTCTGCCGATGAAAACAACGGTATAAATTGTGATTTCCCTGAAATAGAGGAGAGGGAAAGGAGAGGTCCAAACCTCCTGCCTCCTGTGTTTTGCATTTCCTACTCCCTTTTTTTTGGCTTGATCCCTTTAGTCCCTTTTCGATTGCAAAATATTAGGCACTGTTGTGTAATTTTCCCCTATTTCTCCCTCTTCCCACCCTGTTAGAACTCTCACTTCCTGCCCTTTCCTCGTTTGCCTTCCGTACCTCTCCACCTCTATTCTCCTGGGCTCCCATGCCCCTGTCCTTCCCCTTCCGAAGGGCCAGTGCAAACGGATCCCATGCGAGCCAAAGAGAGACCGACAAAAAGGGAAAAGGTTTAAATAAGCAAAACAACATGATTGCGTCACCCTTTTTTGTACATTTCCTCTGCCTCCGGCCGTCACTTAGGGGCACCCAACGAGAATATAGTTCAAAACCACTTAAACATAGCATGGTTGAACGTATTTTAGTATTTAAACGGTAGATATAGGCATATTTTTATCCCCTAAAAATTTTTGATCTGTTCGGATTTCCTAGCTGAGAGTCTGGTGATCCGAAAATTATAGGGATCAAAACTTACCTTTTCGAAAATTTCAGCCAGAAAAAAGGCTCCCGAAAATTCTAGGTGACCTTTTTAGGGTAAAAATCCGTTAAAAATGGGCAATTACACCATTTTGGGGGGGTCGAAAATCCTAGGAGAGGCAAGCAAGCAAGAAATTTAACAACAAATGTTCCGAAAATTCTAGATCTCAAATCGTCTTCCGAACAGATATTTTCCAAAAATTGTCGTTGGGTGCCCCTGGTCACTGCACGGCTAAGTCATGAAATTTCCTAATTTAACGCTTTATGAAGTGAAAATGACAGCCATTTTCTAGTTCTTTCTCTTAACTTAGATACACTCCTTTAGAATCCTACTTGAGAAAGATTCGCCAACATTATATATTTGACAAATCCCACAACGACGGCGGAGGAGGGGAATAATAACGCGAATTCACTTTTTAAAGTCACGTTTTCGTCGCCGTTGGCGTCGCCGTCGTGAGCGTGCTTATTGGTCGACGGTTCTGTGGCTAAAGTCGAGCCGAGCAGGAAAACGAGAAGAAGCAACGCTAAATCGTGAAGCCGGCTTTTTGCATACAGCTCACAGCTCGCCCAGGCTCAGAGTTTAGTAAATCTAGTACGCACAGTTCATTAGTCTCGCAAACGCGCAAAGTTTATTTATCCAACACGCTCCACAATGAATATTTGCTTTTTGCCCTAACAACGGTATAAGTTACTTAAGGCGGGATAGCCAAAGGGCGTACACAGTGCAAAGAAAATCTTCAAGGTAGGCGTCTCCCTGAAGGACCTCATCCCGAGGCTATGGTATAAACTAGACGCCGGTAGGCGTTCACTGGGCTGCCATGAAAATTAGACTAGACAGATACATTATATAGTAAGAAAACGAGGAGTTTGCCAGAACAGACAGCTGACGGCCGATAAAATGAAGTTACTAAAACGCTAAACTGACCAGTTCCCATCCCGTACACCATGAGATCCCGACCCACGAACCCCGTTCAACGTACCGAGTCCACAGACTGACTTATAAATGATAATCTAATTAATGGTCAACATAATATGACGAAGGGTTTTGTCCACTTTCGAACGACTCTAAGGGCTAAACGTGACCTCGGGATTTGAACACTGGGAACTGTCTTCTAAACTGGGGAATCTAAACTCAAAGGGCAACTCGCTTGCAGGTAAGAGCCGTCACAACTTCTAGGACCGGGATCAAACCATTAACTGGAATGCAGCAGAGAATAAGACAAACCTGACTTGGTTCCAACAGTATTTATTCTTGTACACGTACTCGAAGCAATCTGTGTAGTTGACAATATAATCGGTGCAATCGAGAATTACTACAAACTAACTTACTTATATACCATTACCACAGGTATTCAACACAAAAGAGTTCAATAGATATACAAACAAACTCGTTTGAAGTTAAGCGAAAATTATTGTTGCGGATTCTATTTTAG